GCAGAGTACTTCTCTGGGAAGGGAGATCTCATAGAGTTTTACACACAAACCCGGCAATTTTAGAGCACTGGGTCCCTTCACTGTGGCTCCCAAGGCAGACAAGGAGTTGTAGCACATAGGGGCAGTCATTGTCTTCGTGCCTGAGATTTCCCTCTCATGTTTTCCCTGCTGGAATGTGGGCATCTGGCACATGGGAGCCAACCTGGCTATCACCCCAACCCACTTGCCATTAGGGAACTCCCCTCCACTTCAATGCCTTCGAAGAGGCAGCTAAAAGGAACGCCTTGGCCATGCATGGGACCAAGTGAGAAGGATAGATAGCAGAATCAGTGATGCCTTCGAAGAGGCAGCTAAAAGGAATGCCTTGGCCATGCATGGAACCAAGTGAGAAGGATAGATAGCAGAATCAGTACATTTTGTTTCACTTTTTCCATGACTGAGTGCAGGTTGGAAGGACAGGTGGGCAGACAAGCTGGGTGTCATGCAAACCAGACCTCAGCTCCAAAACAAGTGGTGCTTGCTGAAGCAAACCCGTGTTTTCTCACGGCTGCAGGTTAAGGACGCAGGTGGCTCCATGACCATTCACACCTTCGGAGCCTACTTTGGCCTGACAGTGACACGCATCCTGTACAGACCCAACCTGGAGCAGAGTAAGGACAAGCAGGGCTCCGTGTACCACTCTGACCTCTTCGCTATGATCGGTGAGTCAGCCCCCACCTCAGGGGCACTGGTCCATGAGGACTACTTGGCTGCAGAGGCCTGGTCCCTCCTGTGCCTCTGGGAGAACCATACTGAAACCAGGATCTGCAGCTGAGAAGCTCTGTATCCCCGTCTTTCACCTCTCAGAGCTACTCAGCTCCCTTCAGCAGTGGTCGAGCTGAGATGGTGCCTGGGAAGACAAGGATGCGTTTTGGTTCTCCGTCTCTGCCAGCCCCTCCTGGTGCTGATCCTATCATGGGAGGTGCAGCGCCAGGGCAGCAGGACCATGGGACTTAACTTCCCCCTGTGCAGAAAGATGATCCTTGGAGGTTTTTTTCAATCTCTGTATTCTCTCTTTTCCCTTTCTCTTCGTCCCCTTCTCCCTCTCCCTGGTACAGGTACTCTGTATCTATGGATGTACTGGCCCAGTTTTAACTCGGCAATTTCGGATCACGGGGATGCCCAGCACCGGGCTGCCATTAACACGTACTGCTCGCTGGCTGCTTGTGTCCTCACCACAATGGCCTTCTCCAGCATGCTGCAGAAGAAAGGGAAGCTTGACATGGTAAGCTGGGGGGAGCAGAGAGCTCTGCGCTGCCAAGGAGACTCACAATGACGTTGATCGAAGGTCTAGGAAATGACTGGCACTTGTCCTTTACTGATCAGATAGTGTGTTTCAGGGCGTGATGGTGCAACCAGAATGCAGGCAGAAACCCAGAGTGTTTACTGAATAAGCACATTGGAAGCAAATCCTGCAGTGTGTAAGGTACAGAGTAATGACCTGCAAGTGGTGGACATAAATCACAGCAGGGACTGGGCTTGCTTTGCCCAGAGAGCTACTGATGGACACATTGCAGAGCCATGTTTGGCAGTGCTCTCCAGCAAGATGAGCAGGGCCTGCGCAGCAGCTCGTGAGCAATCGGGGGGCTGACTTGTACGTGTTATGTGTGTGGGTGACATGCCTCTGTGACAGCAGAGCTTGTGTGACACATGGGTGAGACAATTTCCATCTCATCACAACTCCCCACCCAGATTTGTGGATGCAAAGAATGTGTGTGGTATGAGGAGTGGGAGTCTATGTGTGCCTGTGCTACAGACAGAGGCTGCCTGTTCTTCTCTTGTTTTTCACCAACAAGCAGGAAAATGGACCCTGATATTTCCTCTGGAAACATTTTCAGAGCTGATTCTCCCACTTTGCCATTTGTGCCATCCCTGAGCAATTGCAGTCTCCTTGAGATGCCAAGACAGAGTGGTTACTTCTGCAGGTCCACATCCAGAACGCAACGTTGGCGGGTGGCGTGGCCGTGGGCACCAGTGCAGAGATGATGCTGACTCCATACGGCTCCCTCATTGTCGGGTTCATCTCTGGCATCGTATCCACAGTGGGGTATGTCTACCTCACGGTGAGTGCTGCTCTAGGGGTCTGCAGTCTTAATACTGCTAATAGAAAAAAAATAGATTCACTTCCTTTTGAGGTTTCCTGCTTTTCACCATCCCTTACGTAGATGCACTTCTGACTCCATTTACTGGCCCAAAATGCTCAGGAAGGTTCAGTCTCCCAATAGGAGAGTGTTTGGAGGATATGTTGTTTTTTTATCTTGAGCTTGGCTCACATCTTTGTCTACAAGCCCTTAGGTTCTTAATGGGATGCAATATCAGTCTTCCTTTCTCTGCTTATCCCAGTCCTCCATGGAAGGAACTAATCTTTTCCAGGGCTGTGCTCATGTCCCTGATCTCTCTCTACCTCCCTTCCCCTCAGCCTTTTTTGGAGTCCAGGTTGCACATCCAGGACACATGCGGTATCCACAACCTCCATGCCATGCCAGGCCTTATTGGGGGCATTGTGGGGGCCATCACTGCAGCTGCAGCCACAGAGGATGTATATGGAAAGGAAGGGTAAGACAGCCTGAAAATCTTCCCTGATAATAGATTTTACGTGGGTCTCCCTTGGCTGGGATCAAGGAGCAATTAACAGCCCTTGTTGATTGTCCAGAGTTGTCCCTTTCCCCCTTGAAAACAGGGGGTGCACCGACTGTGGTGAGCTTACTGATGTGTAAAAGACTCATCTCTTGTAGCAGACTTCTAGTGGCCTCAAAATGTGAGCCACGACCCTGTTCCCTGGTATTATTCTGGGGCATGGTGGGTGGGGAAGCGCTCCTCTATTCCTGCACTGTTTTGGAGGGTCAGGTAAGGCTGAAGGTCTGAAGTACAAAATAAATGTTTATATTTTGGGCTCCCCCTAGGTAAAGCTTTGCCAGAGGGCATAGGAGAAGGGAGTGAATGGTGTTTTGTGTCATTGCAACACTCCCCTGGTCCGTTGCAGGAGAGGGATGGGGCTAGGGAGGAGTCCTTGAGGAAGCAGGGTAACACGGCTCCTCTGGAGCCTGGAAGATCTCCTTGCCAGGAGCAATCCTCGCCATTTCTGCCCTTGGCAGGTTTATCAAGGCATTTGACTTCACTGGCGTGTACCAGACGCGGACACCCAGTGTACAAGGAGGGTTCCAGGCAGCCGGTATTGTGGTGTCTATGCTGATGGCTTTCGCCGGGGGGACCCTTGTGGGTAAGCAGGAGGGAAGCATGGTGAGAGGAGGGTTGAATACATCCTGTGGCTGAAATGGAGGAGTCCCCATACTCCTGCTTATGGCTGGATGCCTCCTCCCGACTTGCACTGCGAGAGCTGCAGCCCCAGGCTTGCTCACATCCCTTGGGATGCCCTGCAATGGGACCACCCCAAAGCCCACAGAAGAATGGGAAACCGGGCAGCCAAGGGGGGGAGCAAGCTCAAACGGGTTTGGAGAAAAGAGGGATCGGCACCGAGCTCCATGCCAGGGCTGCGTTTCTCCCCTTTGCTGCCGGGAGGGGTGGACTCTGCCCATCCACACCCTGCCTGCACCCCACACGGCATTATGGCCACCTGCCCACCACCCTGCCCGGCTTCTTCCAGGGGCCATCCTGAAGCTGCCCGTCTGGGGCGACGCCGCCTCCGAGAACTGCTTTGAGGACGACATTTACTGCCGGCCAAGGGCCGAGGCGCTGAAGCGGGGTTTGGGGTCGAGGCGAGCGGCGGGACCGAGGCGGAGGGGGGCGGGAGGCACAAGATGGCGCTGTCGCCCCGCGGCGTGAGGGGCTGCCGTGGCGCGGAGATGAGGGGGCTGCGCTGCGCTTCTCAGGCGCCGGAGG